TGATCCATTGATTATTTAGGAGCATGTTATTAAGCCTCCATGTGTTTGTGAGCCTTTTTACTTTCTTTGTACAATTTCTAGTTTTATACCTTTGTGGTCTGAAAAGTTGGTTGGTAGAACTTCAATCTTTTTGAATTTACTGAGGCCCTTTTTGTGGCCTAGTATGTGGTCTGTTCTGGAGAAAGTTCCATGTGCACTTGAGAAGAATGTGTATCCTGTTGCTTTTGGATGTAGGTTTCTATAGATGTCGTACATCTGTTCTAGTATGTTGTTCAGTGCCTCTATGTCCTTCCTTATTTTCTGTCTGGTGGATCTATCCTTTGGAGTGAGTGGTGTGTCGAAGTCTCCAAAAATGAATGCGTTGCATTCTATTTCCTCCTTTAATTCTGTTAGTATTTGTTTCTGTCAGCCTCCTCCCTGTCTCCGGCCTGCAGATAGAGGAGGCGACGCAATGAAATATCAAAGATCTGAGTAGGCCAGCTAGGGGTCTCAAGGCATACCAGCTCAAGAGTGGTGCTGGAAAGGCACCTCTCATATTTATTGATCAGGCATCACATTTTTGAGTGGGTTAACAAGTTTCTAGACACAATGATTAACATGCTTTACTATAGGAATGTAATTGCCTCCAGGTCACTGGGGCAAGTCGTCCCTGGCACCAGGCAATGAGGGGGTAGAGATAACAAGAAACAGATCTTGGTTTAGATTTAGTGAGCTGCGGCATGCACCACAGATAACAAGGATGGCAAACAATTCCCATAGAAACAGAATCATCTATGGATGGCAACCCACAGTTTCACATATGCTGGTGCTCCTGTGTTGGGTGCATATATATTTATAATGGTTATATCCTCTTATTGGACTGAGCCCTTTATCATATGTAATGTCCTTCTTTATCTCTTGTTACTTTCTTTGTTTTGAAGTCTATTTTGTCTGATACTAGTACTATAATACCTGCTTTTTTCTCCTTGTTGTTTTTCATGAAATATCTTTTTCCATCCCTTGACTTTTAGTCTGTACATGTCTTTGGGTTTGAGGTGAGTCTCTTGTAAGCAGCATATAGATGGGTCTTGCTTTTTTATCCATTCTATTACTCTGTATCTTTTGATTGGTGCATTCAGTCCATTTACATTTAGGGTGATTATTGAAAGATATGTACTTATTGCCATTGCAGGCTTTAGATTCGTGGTTATCAAAGGTTCAAGGTTAGCTTCTTTAACATCTTCCTGTCTAACTTAACTCGCTTATTGAGCTATTATAAACATTGTCTGATGATTCTTTATTTCTCTCCCTTCTTATTCCTCCTCCTCCATTCTTTATATGTTGGGTGTTTTATTCTGTGCTCTTTTGTGTTTCCTTTGATAATTCAGCTTTTTGAATGTGTTGTTCTACTTCCTTGAGTTCTCAGCTTTTCAGGTTAATTCTCTAGGACTATTAAGATCTGAGGGTCTTTTCAAAGTATTGAAGAGATGTTGCAGTTTATAAGTAGGAATATTTAATAACAGTCAGATCCAATTAATATCTCCTAATAATCTTCAAAAATCATTTAAAGTTTTAAGATGATCTCTCCTTATCTGAATTTTTGAGGGATTATTGAATTTCCTTGAATTCTATTCCCCAAGTAATTCATTGGGTATTGTATTTGTATTTTATCAGGAGCTATTTATAAGCCCCATTGTTCTAATTCAGCTTCTGTCTCATCGAGAATGGTAGTAAGAGATAAATGTTTAGGTAGGGCTATGAGAATGTCATCCATATAATGAATGATACAAGCTGAGGGCCATTTTTCACGTATAGGCTGAAGGGCTCTGTGTACATAATTTTGGCAAATTGTGGGGCTACTTAGCATTCCCTGAGGAAGCACTTTCCACTGGAACCTTTCTGATGGGGCCTATAAGTTCAGGGAAGGAACAGTAAAAGCAAATTTCTCCCTGTCTGTAGTGGCTAGAGGAATAGTAAAAAAGCAATCTTTAAGATCAATAATAGCCATGTTCCAATCTTTTGGAATCATAGTTGGAGAAGGGAGACCTTGTTGCAAAGGTCCCATAGGTTTAAGAACTGCATCAATGTGTCTTAAATCATGCAAGAGTCTCCACTTTCCTGATTTCTTCTTTATAACAAATACAGAGGAATTCCACGGACTCATGGGAAATTCTAATTTATCTAGCTGAAGCTGTTCTTAAACTAACGTGTGTAAGGATGCCAGTTTTTTTCTTTATTAAGGGGCCATTGATCCACCCAAACAGGCACAGGGATAATGTTTCCCTGTCTGTGAGCCTTTTTAAAAATCTCTCATAGCATTAGTCCAATCAGTCTGTTTGAGGGTTCCCTGTGGTGGCAACCAATAACAATGTTTCTTAATATATTTATAAAGCTGAGCAAAATCTCTTTTAGAAGTTTTCACCCCTGACGTTTTTAGGAGGGCACGGAGCAATTTTAAATAATCCTCCAGTTTAGCTGTTTTGGTTTCAGTTTGGCCCACTATAGTGTCCCTGACGTCTCGATCCTATCCCTACGCGCAATTTCCCAGGAGTCTTACCAGATCAACGATCTTCGGAGCCTGCCCGCTCTGCTTTTCACGGGTCACCCGAGCGGAGCTTCCCTGCTCTGGGTTTCAAATGTCACCATTCTGAGTTTCAACAGTCCCTGTTCTGAGTTTCAACCATCCCCTCCCTGCTTCTGAGCCGACCTGATGAGTTATCGAAGACCTGAAAGGACCAGCCAGGGGGCTCAAGGCGTAACAGCTCAAGAGCAATGCTGAAAAGGCATTTCTCGTATTTATTGAATAAATGAACTTACAGTGAACTCAAACATCATTACCTGAGTCTAGCCCAAGGATGCGACGCTTCTCAAGGATACCAAAACTGTGTGAAGGTGGCTCCAAGCCATGAGAACTGCTTTGGTTCTCATCACTCAGTCCTTGACTACACATCAACAGAGTGTGTGGGAAAAACAATCATGTGTGCTTATACATTTGATTTCTACCTTACTTGAATTATGTATTAACCTCATCAGTCCCACATATGTCATTTGGCCTTGTCGGGTGTGTTGTTTTTTTGAAGTTTTCGACAGTTTTAGATATCTCATCTTCCCTGATGTTTTGTGCACTGTGTCCCCATTAGCCTGGGTCCTGAGAGAACTGAAAAGTAGGGTCTGGGTGTTCTGCTTTTGAGGTACAATCCACTATTTAACAATGTAAAATACACAATTCAGTGGTTTTTAGTATATTCACAGTGTTATGCAATTATCACCACTAATTACAGAATATTTCCATCACCCAAAAAGAAACCTAGTACTCATTAAGCAGTCACTCCTGTTCCCCTTCCACTAGCTCTGTCAACCATTAATCTAGTCATTCCATGGATTTACTCATTCTTCACATTTTATATAAATGGTATCATACAGTATGCAGCTTTTGTGTTTGACTTTCACTCCGCATAATGTTTTCACGGGGTTCATCCATGTTGTAGCACATATTAGTACTTCATTTCTTTTTATAGCTGAATAGTATTCTGTTATATGGATATACCACATTTTGTTTATCCACTTATCAGCTGATTGATATTTGGTTGCTTCCACTTTTTGGCCATAATGAATAATACTGCTATAAATATTCATGTATAAGATTTTCTTTGTACATATATTTTTAATTCCCTTGGGGATATACCTAAGCATGGAATTGCTGGATCATATGGTATTTCTATATTTTACTTTTTGAGGAACTGCCAAGCTTTTTTCTACAATTACTGCAACATTTTACATTTCCACCAGCAATGTATGAGTATTCCAATTCCTTGACATCCTTACCAATGTTTATTTTCCTTTTTTAAAAAATACCCATTCTGACAGTTAAATACTTTGTAATAATCTTGAGGAGCTTGCAAATAAAATTTCTGCATAATTCATTTCTAAAAAATTCCCATTCTAAGGAAAAAAGCACAACTCTTTATTAAGTAGTTTTTACATCTACTGAAGTTTGATCCTTTGGTTGCAGCCTGACATCATGTTTTATGTAAATCATTGTTCAGTTGCTAGTAAGTGAAGTTTAATAAAAGTGAGACATCTGCAAAAACAAAAACAAAATACCTGTTCTAGTGGATGTGAAGTGGCATCTATTTTGTGGTTTTGATTTGCATCTCCCTAACAACTAATGATTGAGCAGATTTTCAAGTACTTGCTGCCATTTGTATATCTTCTTCAGAAAAATGTTTATTCAAGTTCTATGCCCATTTTTAAATTGTGTTCTTTATTTGCTCTTGAGTTATGGGTTTTTTTAATGTATTCTGGATACAATACTCTTATCGGATGTATGATTTACAAATATTCTGTTTGTTGGGTTGTCTCTCCATTTTCTTGATGGTGTCTTTTGGAGTGCAAAAGGTTTTTTCTGTTAAAGTCCAATTATCTATTTTTTTCTTTTGTAGATTGTATTTTTGATGTCATATTCAAGACACCAATCCAAGGTCATAAAGATTTACCCCTGTTTCTTTCTAAGAGTTTTCATAGCTTTTGCTGTTACATTTAGGTCTTTGATACATTTTTAATTATTTTTTTGTCAGGTGGAGGAAGTAGGAGGAGAGGTCTAATAAATTCATTATGTTGCATGTGGATCAGTTGTCCTAGCACCATTTGTTGAAGAGATTGTTCTTTCTCCAAATTGAATGGTTTTGGCAACCTTGTTGAAAATCAATTGACCATAGACACATGGGTTTATTTCTGGACTTTACTCACTCCATTACTGTAGTTTTGTAATAAGTTTTGAAATCAGGAAGTGTGAATCCTCTAACTTCTTTCTTCCTTTTCAAGACTGCTTTGGCTATTTGAGGTCCTTTGCAATTCCATATCAACTTTAGGATATGCTTATCAGGGTCTGAGTTTTTGACTGACTTGGTCTACAGGACAGGAATGCTGGCTTTTGTTCCTCCCTCTAGGAAGGGTTCCATACCCAAGAATGTGCTGAGTGACTGAATAGACAACCATTTTTCTCCTGTTTCATCTTATAGGTGAACAACTTTGTGATCTTTGAAGGCTTCTTTGCCCATCAACATCGTAAGTTTTCTCACCTTGTGTGTAATGTTTAAGTAACTGGGGTGAGGGAAAGGAAAGAGGTGGATTCTTGGTCCCACTGGCCTCTCACTGAGGGGCACCACCACTTCCTTCCTCACAGGGCCCCCTGCTCCCTCTCTGAGGGCAACTCGACACTTTCGCGCTGATGAGGTTGATACTACGCCCGCTGGTAAAGCTACATTGAATGGGTGGAATTGTAGTGCCATGATGGCTAGTTCCTCTGGAGGCTGTGGGGAGACAGTGTGATCTGTGGGCAATTTGGAAGAATTCTAAGGCAACCTCAGTCTCCAGCAGTCATTACCTGTTTGCCTTCACCCTCAAGGGAACTCAGTGCATCTTATACTTATCAAGACTTTTCACTAAGCAAGCTCATTGGGAGCCTATTTGGTGATTAATCCTGAAGGAGCCTCTTGCTGCTTCAGGTCCATCAAAATAGATCAGAGTCACTGTCAGCCAGTGAGGGACAGGCAAGTGCAGTCAGCCCTTACATTTCATGACAGAATAGTGACATAAACGATCCAAAGTTTAAATAGTCATTTTGGAAGATAACACTCAGAATTTATAACATTTCCAACCAAATAATAAAATTGATGTGGAGAAACCAAACCTAGAAGCCACTGAAGTGCTGCCAGATTCCCTACTCCACCCTCATCCCTGCCAGTCAGAGCCCACTTCCTCTTCCTCACTGCTTTCCAGAGGAGGAGTGGCACAGCCCTCTGCTGGCCATGCAGTACGTGCTTGCACAGAAGGGCCCCCTTCTGGAGCTGGCTTTGCAGCCTACTCTCACCACCTCTGTGACCAGGAAAGGGAGTATCCATCACCAGTCTGTTCCTAGCTTCGATCATTGTCAGAGGCAATTCATGTCCATGACTTGCTTTGGTTTCCAAGGCTTCCCCCATCTAGCTCTTGCTGAACTACAGGCTGTGAGAGGGAGTGAGAGCCAACAAGCATGGTGAAGATGCAAGTCCACAGGGAAGGGACTGTGGATAAAGCTTAATGGATTTGCTGAGAAGTCTCGTTTGGTACACAATGGAGAACCTCTTGAGAGGGGAAGGGAGGAAGCAAGCAGGGAAGTGAGGGAATGGGAGACAGAGCCTTAGACAATACGTTAGCCTCCCATTTACTCTGGTAACCCCTTCCCAGATGTCTGTGTTTTCTTCTCAGACTCTCTTCCCTCATAATAAAACTTAATCTGTCTTCCTATCTTTGCACCAGAAAGAAAGGTTCAGTCCCACAGCATTCTCCCCTGACTTGGCTCCAAAGCAATTCCTAATTAACCAAGGACTTTGCCCATCTCATCTAGAAGGACCTGGGGTCCTCGTTGGCCAGGCTGTGACCATTCCACTGCCCCAGAATCCCAGGGGGTCCTGAGAGCATCCACTGACAGTAAGAGCTCACCTCCCTTAGCTGCCCTTATGAATCTCCCAGGCGCCAGTCTTCCCCTGGATCTTTTCCCTAAACTCTGCATTTGGCCTACTCCTTCTGGCTCTCCTCAGAAGTGCTCCAGCACTCCCCCTGAATTCCCTTTTGATGTGATGGCATTGCTGCAGAGCTGCTTCTGCAATGGAGCGGAACTCTCTTCTTCCCCAGGAGGAACTGTGATGTCAGGGAGCAGAGGTTTGGGGTTATGGGGGTACTGGCTGGGAGGACGGGAGCAGAGTTTGTCTCCTAATGCTTACCTTGCCTGTGTCCTTTCTACCACCAGCTCCAACAAGGAAGCTGCCACCCAAGAGAGCAGAGGGAGACATTAAGCCATACTCTTCTAGTGACCGAGAATGTAAGACTGGGGAAGAGTGTCTGGGCCTGGGGGACCTTAACCCAGGGGAAGTATTAGTTTTCTCTAAGGGCTCTGATTTCTTTTTTTTCTACGTGAATCTTTGCCGTCATGACTCTCTTTTCTCTCCTTTTTCTTCTTTCTCTGTCTTGCTCCTTATTCCCTCTCCCCAGTTCTGAAGGTAGCTGTGGAGCCTCCTTGGCCCCTTAACAGGGCCCCTCGCCGTGCTACACTTGCAACCCACCCACCCCCCCGCTCCAGCAGCCTGGGAAACTCGCCAGAACGGGGTCCCCTCCGCCCCTTTGTGCCAGAGCAGGAGCTGCTGCGTTCCCTGCGCCTCTGCCCCCCACACCCTACTGCCCGCCTTCTGCTTGCTACCGACCCAGGGGGCAGCCCAGCCCAACGCCGCCGTACCAGGTAATAGGAGTTAGAGGGTTAGGAAGCCTCACCAGTGTCAAAGAGGGTGTTGGATATAACACAGGGCAATCTGAGTCTGTCAAAGATGTGAAGTAACAGGACAGGTGGACTGAAGAGTCCTGAAACCTTTTGAGAATATACAGGAAAATATTTGTGGGAGCAGTCTGGAAAGATACTACAGTGAGAGAGCAGAATAGGACTTTCTGTGGCATCTAGGGACTCTAGTTTTAAAGTGAGAGTTGGGAGGAAGAGTAAGAAGAGCACAGGTCCATTGGGTGGGGGAAACTGAGCCTGTCAGATTGGGGAACTCTTGGTTTAAATAATTGCTGGGAAGGAGCAATGTCTCTGACAGACTGGGGAGCCACTGGCCCCAGGTCACTGCCTTGTGTGGCAGGAACCCACCCCATTAGGCAGAGTAGGCATCTCCTTTAATTCTCTCCCTAGCTTTCTCTTCACCTCTGACTTCTCTGTTTTTCTCTCTCCCCCATTTTCCCTCTCCCTTCCTCCTGTCCATAACATCCATCCACAGCTCCCTTCCCCGCTCAGATGAGAGTCGATATTGACAGACAGCTAACCTCCTGCCCCTCCCTGGGAGATTTGGGGTGGGCAGAGATTGGTTTCCCTGAGAATCCTGGACCTACTCTTCTACTGCATCCCACAGGATTTCGTGGAACCTGACAGTCCGTAGGATTCCCTCTTCCCCTTTCTCGGTTATCATGGTCATAGATGGCCTAATACTTTGTAGCTTTTCTTACCACAGAAAGCACCCCTTCTCTCCTAACTTGGACTCTGAACAGTCTCCCACAGACAGTCTGATTCGCTGCCAGACTTGTTGGCTGGGTGGTTCATACTGATTATCCAGGGAAGCACATTCTAGCTTGCTGTCAAGACTCTAGAGCACCATAGAAGACCCAAGAGCCTTCTCTGCCAGGGAAACCTTTTAAGGAGTCCTGTCTGTAGAAAAAATCCCAGAATCCCTCTACAGTGTCTGCTGGTGGCTCTAATACTGCTTTGTGCTGCCTACCACACTTTTCCCAGCTCCTCCCAGCCTGCTGATGCCAAGCAGTGAGCTCTGCTTCAGAGCAGTCCAGTAAGGTAGGACAGGGACCTAACAGCTTCCCAAAGGGATCCACTCAACATTGCCAAACTCTTTTAATTTCCACATTTTTGTATGTGTCAGGGAACCCTTAGGTGATGTATGGAGCTCTAAAGACTCACCATATTTCTAAAGACACCACCACTTCCCAGAAGCAAATTCTGTGAGGTAGTTTCTTGGCAGTAGAGCCCAGTTAGCACCCTGGGATCACTCTTAGCCATGTTTCAGAAGGTAAACCTGAGTGTCAAAGATCTGTTAGCTCCTGGAATCCCCTCTTGCAACTACCCCTCCCCAGTAGCTAGATGCTGATATATTCCTGTCCTGTGAGATTATCTTGAGATGATAGAACTCTTCCTCTGCCCTTCCTTCCTTCATAGCAAGAACTTTCTTCCCTGCTCAGTACCCAGGTTTTAGAACATCCTTCCCCCTCCCTACCCTTTAAATGTGTGGTAGGTCAGGTACTCCCACTGTGTCCCCTATGTCCTTGGGAGCAGGATCTCCCTCTCTCTCGGCTCAATCCTCCTTTTCCTTCTCCCTCTCAATGTTGTCTGAATAAATTGTGAATTCTTTTGTGTTTTTAAATGGACATTTTCAATGAAAAAAACAAACAAAAACAAAACCTTAAGGTCTCAGCCTCATTTATGCATCATTCCTGAGGTATCAGGACCTGTCCCTCATCTTCCTCACCTCTGGGATCTACAGCTCCTCCAGTAAGGAGTCTCAGAGCTCCCTTTGCAGGATCTGGTGTCTGCCCATCCCCACTTCACTGCTAGACATTTTTCGAATTCTGTGTCCTTGCATATAGTCACTGGATTCCACTGTGTAGGCTTCTATATCCACTCCCCTATCCCCTCCAGAAACCTCCAGCTCTCCCCAGTGACTTGTACCCTTTACCTTAGGCCAGCTTATACTGAGATTTCAAGATTTATCAACATCTCTGGAATCCACTCATTGCCTCTTGAGTGTTCCCTTGATTTCCTGGCCTCTCCACCACTAAACCCCTGGACCTCTCTCAAGACAATCTTTTTTCTGTTGAGAGTCCAGCAGTCTGTCACCTCTCTCCAAAAGGCTCCCTTCATTTTCCCCCTGAATTCAGCCTTGCCACACACTCCCTATTTCCCCCTGGTCTGAGGTACCCTATAATGAAGGTAACCATTTTTCCAAGCCAAACATCAGGACACCTGGTCCAACAAACTTCTTGCCTATATGTGAGTCACTTTTATATGGTTTATATCACATTTAGCCTTACCTCAACTAGAAATAATAAAGCAACAAATCAGGACTGCTCAAGAAAATCTTAGGGAATAAAATGAGCTCCCTCCCCTTTTCTGGGTCACAGCTTAGCTTAAAACCCTTCAAAAATGATAGTTACCCCTTTCTTCTCTTTGCTGTGCTGTTCCTTTTATTCCTCTCCTCTAATTCTTCCATACCCACTCATCTTTCATCCTGTAGCCTCTTCCCTATCATCTCCCATTTCTTCTGCAGGGAGACTTCCCCAGGGTTGGTAGACCAAAGCTGCTGCTATAGCCGCCCTGAGGGGTTGAATTCCTCATCCCCCACTACAGGTAAGTATTCATCCCTTCTTACCCTCAAATCAGGTAAGCCATTATTTACTACTTACTCTAGCCTTCCCATGCACATGCCTGGTATTTTCACAGGCAACCAAGAACTGAAGCAGGGGAGACAGGAAACAGAGAATAGGTGAGATATGAGCCCCTCCCCGGACTGACTCCTTTCCTAACATCACTCTCAGCTACTTCCTCCTAAATCTTACTCTCTGAACTGGACACCAACTCCTCCCACAGATCATTCCACCTAACATTATACTGCCCTCTTTCCCCATTAAGTTCAGCTCTTGGGCATCCCTTGGCACTGAGGGGTTTCAAATTTGGACATAGCACTAATGGTGTCAGCCTCATAATCCTCATGTGCTCCTCTACGTAAGAGCCAGACAAACCTTGAAGAGTGTGATCTTAATTCCCACGTGAGTACCCATATAACCACTCTCCATCTCTCTCCCACCTACCAGGTCTGCCAGTGAGAAGCAGGTCTTATCACAGGATGGGTCTGGAGAGGTTCCCATGCACACAGTTCCTCCACAGGCCCAGGCCCCACCAGCCCAGTCCTGGACAGTGGGTGGGGACATGTTCAACGCCAGGTTCATTCGAAACTTGCAGGAACGTCGCAGCACCAGGCCTTGGTGACCATAGGCCCCTCTCACACCTTCAAAGTATTATTTCTCTCTTACTACAGGGAATAGTTAAAGCCCACCCTCATAATGGATGTAATTCATTCACCCATTCAACAGGCTTTCTTATCAACGTTTAGTCATTTGTGTCTTATTTTTAACCAGAGCAATAAAGTACTTATTTTTATCAGTAGCTACTGAAAAACTTGTCATTTCAATCCCACCCCTTACTTTCGTTACACCCAGTTCAACACCATCATCGCCCAATTTTTTGCGCAAGCGCCCCAGGTGAGGCCGCAGTGCTCGGGCCGCTAATTTACTGCGCAAGCGCTCTGGAGCAGCCGCCAATCTGGCGTGCGCAGGCGCACTTACTGCAGAACGAGAGCCTCGCCACCTCCCAGGAATAATCCTCAGTGCGCAAGCGCGCGACATCTCCGTTTCCCTCCCCTCAGCCCCTTCGCCCCCCCGGCCTTTCCCCTTCAAGAAGCTGACTGCAGGGCGCGCTCACCCCTGTGAGGAGGCTAGCGGCCGGACTCGAGAGGCGCTCTCTACACTCCCGGAAGATCATGTACCAGCCTAGCCGGGGGGTGACCCTGCGTCTCGGCCACTGCCTGCGCGCCTACCAGGCTCGCCCCCAGGTGAGAGCAGAGGGAGAGCGGGAGAAGAGAGGGGGCGGGGAGAGACCCTCCTCAGAGCAGGCGCGTGGGGCGGAGCGCGCTCTCCGTTCCGCGCAGGCGCAGTCATGTCCCACCGCCCCTTGCCACCTGTGTTGGGCGGTGCGTAGAAGGGCTAGTGGTTGGGGGGTACCGGAGCGCGGCGCCGCCAACCCTGGCGCGCAGAGGACGTCGGTTCTGCTGGGTTTGGGGTGGGCAAGCGGGGTTGAAGGTGGGTCAGCGGTCCGCGTCCGCCTTTCGCTTGCGTCTCCGCGGTTATCTGTGCCTGGAGGTGATTTGAAGGGCAGGGGACGGAGAGGTTCGCAGCGCGGCCACGGCGCCGCCCTGGAGTTGCCCGGTCCAGACCAGACAGACCTGCGGACTGCGCTTAGCCTCCCTCTCATCTTGCTCCCAGATAGCAGTTCCGGCGGGAAGGCCGGCCCGGGGGGACCCGGTTTGGGCCCCTGTGCCCGTGCGGGCAAGATGGCCACGCCCCCCGGGGAGGCGGTGCCTCGGGGATATCGTCGGGACAGAACAGAGGTACCCGCGGGGCCTGCCCGCCTTCCCGAGAGTGAGACGCCCCTGGGGGGGTTCCTTGGGAGCGGAGGGACTCGGGTCAGGCCTGACTTTGGTTGACCTAACCGTATTGCACTTTCAACGTTGCTAAGCCAGGAGGAATGAAGTCCAACTTTTTAAGTGCCCTAGGGTGGTCTATCATGGGGGGGCCAAAATGATAATAACTTACAATTATATACTACTTTATGGGTCGCAAAGTTTTAGTTACACTTATTATCCTCACATAGTCCTCATAATAAGTCAGGGTGGCTTCATCATCCTCATTTATAAGAGGAAACTGACGTAAGGAATTAGAGTGCCTAAGGTTACACGATAGAGTTGGAACTCAAAGAAATGTCTCCTAGTTCCCGTTGGACGTTCTTTTCTCTTTACAACATCTGTCTTACACACTTAATCTTCGAGTTGAGTTACAGGCCATATAGTTTCATCTGCAGTATAGTAAAACCTGTTACTCATTTGTTCTTCAAATATGTATTACGATTCTTGCTCTAAGAGGTGGAACTGCTTGCTCTCAGTGTTGGAATCTTAAATGTAAAGGTATTTGCTAATGCTTTGGGGAGGTACTTATACTTAGGTCACAGGAAACTATTCCCTCCTGTTTTCACTAGAAAGGGAGATGAATCCATTCCATTTTAATATTCCATCTTTCCTATCAGGAGGAGCAGGTGGGATTGGAAGCATGTTAATGAGCAGTTTGCATGAAGGGGCATTAGACAGCTGGATTCTTACCTTTTTCTCTGGTTCTTCCTCCTTAGGACCAGCTTTCTCCACGGCCTCTACCATTCCCACCCCATTGGCTCCACTCCACAACTTCTCCATCTTCTCCTCTTCTCTGGTCCCTCCCACCTCCATGCCTTCCTACTCAGCTGCTTTCCCGAGCCCCCCCATTACCTCTTCCTGAGGTCCAGGCCCTCAACTCACCATGGGTGGTTCTCCCTCCAGGAAAGGGGAAGGAGGGACCAGGACCTGAGTTGCACAGTGGCTGCCTGGATGGGCTTAGGAGCCTATTTGAGGGACCACCCTGCCCCTATTCTGGGGCTTTGATGCCTTTCCAAGCCCCTGGTACTGCCTGCCCTTCCCCTGCCACTCCATCAAGAGATCCAAGTATGGAAGAGCACCTGGCTGTCATGTATGAGAGACTGAGACAGGAGGTAAGTCAGTTCAAAAGTGGCCTTCATCTGCAGTGGGAAGAGATGTAGGTGATACTTGGAAAATTTTTCCGAGGGTTAGTCAGCTGGATTCTTTCTTGACACTATAAGGCAGGCAAGAAATCTGTTTACCAAGGAAAAGATGATCCTCAGTTTGGATTAAGGGAAATTGAACATGGAATAAAATGACCTTTCACTCAGGGGAAAAGGGAAAAGGAAGCACTAAAACTAGGAAACAGAAATAGAATCATCTTTTCTTTCCTACTGGTTTGATGCTTTCTTCTTTCACCTAGCTTCCCAATCTCTTCCTTCACTCCCATGACTACACACTCTATTCATCAGATGTGGAATTCATCAATGAGATCCTGAACGTGCATACCAAGTGAGAATCCAGGGACTGGTAGGACCTTGGAGAGGAAAAGGACCCAATGCTATGTATTGGACCCTTTTCACTTACCCGAGAGGGTCCGAGGCTGCTTCTTACAAATGTTCCCCATTCCTCGGACAGAGGCCAGTTTATTTTCTGATTTTACCATCATGAGCTTTCTTTCCCATTCCTTCTTCACAGGGGTCGGACATGGTACATTATATCACTGACCTTCTGCCGTTTCCTGGCCTGGAACTATTTTGCACAACTTCAGTTGGAGGTTCTACAGCTGACCCGCCACCCAGAGAATTGGACCCTGCAAGCCCGCTGGCGGCTGGTGGGGCTGCCCATACACATGCTCTTTCTGCGTTTCTACAAACGTGACAAGGAAGAGCTTTACCGGTAAAAGAAGAAAGAAAGAACACACACTACAAGCAGTTTCCTGATCTTACCCTTTTAGGACCCTGATTGTCTAGTCTCCCAGCCAATCCTTGATCTACCCTGACCTGACTGCAGACTCAAGGGCAGAGATCTTGCTAGTATCCTGTAATATAACAGAAATAGGGACTTTTAGTATATTAGGAAAGCTCTCAACTCAGTTTCTTCATGTACCTAATATATAGTAGATGTCCAAATATTTAAATAAGTGAAAATTCCTATTTTACAAGTTGAGCCTCACAACCTTGGGTAAAGTACCTAGCAAATTTCTGGCACAGAGAAAATTCACAGGAAATTGTTAGGGTTGGCCCAAACCCGTGGTTCTCAAGCTTTGCTATATAGCGGAGTCATCTAAGGATCTCTTAAAAATACTGGTGCCAGACATTCTGATTTAATTGCAACAGGATGTACCTGAGCATATGTAGCAAAGTTTAGGAATGACTAGTTTAAACAAATGCTGGGAGTCAAACTTTGTGGCCAGTCACCCTTACCCTCAGTGAACCTTTTTCTCTTCATCAGGACCTATGATGCCTATTCTACCTTCTACCTGAATTCCAATGGGCTCATTTGTCGCCATCGCCTAGGCAAAGTGAGTCCTAGAGCAGGTTGGTGGGGGGTAAGAGAGTAGAACACCCCATCACCTGGCATTAACCTTTCTCTCTGCAGCTGATGCCTTCACACTCACCGCCAACACCTGTGAAGAAGCTGCTAGTAGGAGCCCTCGTAGCTCTGGGGCTGTCAGAACCAAAACCCAGCTTACACTTGTGTTCTGAGACCTGATCCAGAACTGGAGTGGAGGCAGCACTGAAGACTTTGCTACACACAACAGGGGGCTGTGGGGGCAACCAAGAAACTCAGGAGCTGGCTTCCTCCCCTCTTCACTCTCTTCCTACCTTCCTTGCCATCTCATGCTGTGTAAAGCTGCTGTGTAATTTAACTGTAAATAATAAATCTAAGTGAATATATGAACTAGTTTGCATGTCACTCTCTCTGGATCTCAAAAGTTCCCACAAGCATTATTCCAAAAATGTTTTATTAATGGATATTAAATAATGTCCAGAAGGAAAAGGAGCTGGTGTTGGGTTCTATGTCCTCTCTACCCTAGCTCTTCTCGTGTCTTGCCTATTTTTTTGGGCATTTTCTTTGCATGGGGATCTTCTAGCTCCTTGGCCTTATAATAATGGGGTGCCACCTCCAGAAGCCAACTGCTCTCAATCTCCAGTACCTACAAGAAAGAAAGAAATCAGTAGGGTTCCCCTTTTCCAACCTAGGTTCTAATGTATGTGTGATCAGAAAAGTTTCTCTTCTCCCTTTGACTGCAGGGCTAAGGGAAAAGGTGCTGAGCTCAAAGACTACATACCCCAAGGGTAGACATTTCTATGTGTTATCTCAGGCTAGTCCTGAAAAAAGCCTGAACCTAAAGACTAAAGTAGGCTCAGGATAGAGACCACATCTGCTTGATTCACTATTATCACTGACACAAACAAGAGGCATTCAAATATTGACTGACTGAACATAAGAGTTCTCGGATTTTAGTAGATGCTGAGGTACCTTGCAGGATGTCCTATTTTATCCTACCTTACACCAATGTGTTCATTTCTCTGCCAGTCCCAACAATTTGAACCCACACATCTCCACCTTCCTAGGCAGGGGATGGTCCCTCACCTGTCTCATGAACTCCTTGGTGGTCAAGACAAGTTCATGGTAGAGCAGCCAGCGTGGCTGTTCCTCAAAGAGAGAGGAGTTGGGATGAATGAAGACCGTCTGTTGCTGTTTCACTGTGCGATAGCCACTACGAGTCAAGCGTGCTGTGTGGTAAAAGTAACCGGCAGTGATGGCCTAAGGAGCAGGCAGAAAAGGAAGTCAAAGGGGAAGCCAGACAGCCAGGCACCCATGGCACTTGCTATGTTTAGAGCTCAGGTTTCTGGAGAACTAGAAAGGTAAGGAATGCATGAAGAACCCCCGGCAAAGGAACCTCCAGTGGTAAGGGAGAAAGCACAGGGAAAGCACAGCTGCCACAAGAGCAGGAGGGCATACTTCCAGGCTTAAGGAAGTGCAGCAGACCACCGTGGGAGAGGCGCACTGCTGAGGAACCAGCCCGGAGCCAGCAGCAGACCAAAGAAACACTGACCTTGCGAACTCGGACATAGTCCCCCTGGCAGGAGCTGAGGCCAACTTCCACACGTTCCAGGAGCCCCTCCAGCTGTTCCCGCACATCCCGGGCTCGGCGCATTGATCTGAACTGAACAAAGTTCTCATAGCACCACTGGGAAGAATAACCACTCTCGACCCACTTTGAAGAGGGTTAAAAAAAAGAAGGTTAAGTATATACAACAGCACCAGAGTCCCCCATATCTCACCCACTCCCATTCACCCAAGCCCAGTGACCTGTGTATAAACATTTAGCAGAACCAGGTGGTCCCCGCCAGGGAGAAAAAAGTTGACACGGGCATTGTCGGCATGGACGACCTTATCTTTAGGTCTGTAGAAGATAGAGTTGTTGACAGAGAGCATGGCAGCCACTGTCAGGATCTCCTCTGAACAGCTGTACCTGGGGCAGGGAGAGAAAAGCATGAGAGTTCAAGGCAAGATATAGTAACAGACACAGTGGGGGCAAGTGATCACTACATATGGATGAATGTTCACATGGAGACTGCAAATGGGATGATGGCTACACATCAGAGTACAGACTTTGGTGGCAGGGGTGGAATGACAGGGGTTGAGGAGGTGGGGGTGGTAGATGAAACAGTACCCAAGGAGGAATATCTGCAGAGGGGGAGGCAGGAAAGACCTGGGCACTTCTGTGGGTTTTGTAGTAGGAAGGTATGCATTCCACGCATTTGGGAAATGTAGCACTTCGAGTTCATGTGATGACCTCTGACTGATCACAGCAGAGGAATGGCATTTAAAGCTACATCTAAGTGTTCCAGTCTGAAACCTTAGGAATAATTAAGTCCCCAAACCAGACCTCACTCAGCCCTCCTCACAGTTGGAAAGTCTTCCATTTCCATTCATGCCCCCAAATTTTCTGTGTTTGTCAATCTTAACCCATTTGATATTATCATCAGGGACAGAACAGTGTCTTACTGATCCTATGGACCTCAAAACAGCATTAAGAGTTCTTCAGTAACTTATTATTTGTTAAAGAAGAATATGTTAGAGATAAAAAGAGCAAGATGACAACAGATGGCCACAAGAGACAGAGGAGGTATGGCCAGTTTGTGTGTGGGGCCCCGGCTGGAGTGGTGGCTTACTTCTCAGAGGCCAAGATCATTTTAGATAGCATGGGGTCCACCGGCAGCTCTGCCATCTTTCGGCCAGACTACAGAGAGAAAAGAGAGCTGAGGCCATCTTCCTTCAGGTGGCCCTTTGCAACTTGAGGGCTCATGCAACCCCTTCATCCTGCCCCAGTCCAGGCTGTCCTCCCACTTCACCGTGGTGAGCTCGCCAAGGTGGTTGAGGGCTCCCAGAGCGTAGAGCTGCTCCAAAGCCAGCAGCAGGGTCTCATATGGTGGAGGGTCCAGGAAATCAAAGTGCATCAGGTCATGAATCCCTGAAGAAAGATGTGAGAGGGTAGAACAGTTTCTTCACAAGGATTAGTGGCTCCAGCCCCACTCCCTCCTCAGGAGGACTGGAGACCCCAATCACCTAAACTCTTGAGCAGCAACACAACATTGCCCAGGCTGGTCCTCTGGATCTCAGGCACTGTGGTTTCCTCCAGCTCATGCTGATAGGCCCAGGCGGTATACAAGCGGAAGCACTTCCCTGCAGCCACCCGACCTGCCCGACCAGCCCGCTGGTTGGCTGAGGCCTGGAAAGAAAGGAGAGGCAGGCTGGCTAACAATCTGGTAAGGGGAGAGAAAGGGTAGTATTTATGCAGGAAATCTGGGAGAGTGCAAACTGCTTATTCCTGTCCTCTAAGAAGCCAGAGGGCTTCTGGGGCTGTTTCTTCCTCCCACTCCTCCATGGAGACCCTGCCGGAGCCCAGGCTGACCTTGCTGCAGGGTGTGACAGTGAGTGATTCCATGCCCGTTCGGGGGTTGTAACTCTTCTGCTTACAGAACCCTGGATCCAGCACATAAATGATGCCCTCAATGGTGAGCGATGTCTCAGCGATGTTTGTTGCTACAACCACCTGAGTAAGAGGATATAGTCACCCAGAGAACCCCCACCCACCTAGCTACTAGACACAATAATTCTGGAAGTTTTGGAGTGGAGAAACAGGGGCAGACAAGGGGCAGGAGCTGAGAGGATTAGTGTACAAAGTTAGGAGATGGGAACAAGGCCAGGAGAAGGGTAAGGGAGGAATAGGGATAAGTGGAGACAAAATGCGGAAAGGAAATGGAGAAGAGGATTCAGTTTTTTTCAGAGATGGGAGGTGGTGGGTCCAGGTCCCTGCCCCTATCTTTCACATTACCAAGTTCATATTCACCTTGACACATTACTGCCTGCAACAGCCTCCTAATGAGTCACTGTCTCGGCATCCAGAATGGTCCTTTTAAAATATAAACCTGTCATATCACTTCCCCCATCCTTCAGTGGCTTCCCCTGCTACTCAGGAATTCTATTCAAGCCCCTGATGCCCTGAGTCCTCCAGTCCCTGGCTACCTTGTAGACTTCATCTCCTAGCACTGTGGGCTCTCTTGCTCCACTCCCCAGCACCCACCTCACTCAGGTCCTTTGCATGAGCTGTTCCCTCTGCTGAGCACACTCTTCTCCCACAGATCAGCCTGGCTCTCTCCCTCACCAGGTCAGGCCTCAGCCTCCCTTTCACCTTACTGGAGAGAGAAACACCTTCCCTAAAAGCCCAAGGAAAATACCATACCCTCGACCCTATCTTCTCATCTCTGTATCTCTTCACAGCATGTGTCGCAAATCAACAGTATGTACATACATACCCACTGTCTCTTAACTGACATTAAGGACTGTAAGCTCTGTGAGGCTAGGGACTTTGTTTTGTTCATCGCCATGTCCTCATCCTCTAGAACACTACCTGGCATGTGGGAGGAACTTGTTAATTATCTGTTGACTGAAAATTACATCTTTGCTCCAAACCCTTTGATTGCCACTCAACTGTCTAAAGTCCAGACTCTTCCACCTGCCATCAAAGGCCCTCCCTGATTTCAGTCATAGTTGGTTTTAGCTTGTTTCCCACCACTCCACCATGTGAACTTTCCACTAAGCCTTCTAGATTACACTCTGACCTCAAACACACCTTAGACTTTCCTCTGATATTCCCCCACAGTTTTTCTTATAGGTCCAAATGAAATCCCCCCTCCTGGCACACCAGGGCTTCCCTTCTCCTCTGCATCTATCCCCACAGTGCCTACTTTCCAGATCACACACTCAGCTGCCTCTCTGTTCACACCGTATTCATCCTCCTTCTCTAGCTCTGGAGGCGAAGGACCACCTGCTGCTCAGCCTGGGAGTGAAGCCTAGGACACACCTTGCATAGGGCAGGCACAGTCTTCCATTTTGGCCACGAGTGGTGTGAACTACAGTGAAGAAAGTTGGTTTCTCCAACTGACCTTTCGTGCCCCAGGGGGTGTGGGCTGGAAGATCCGAGCCTGCATGTCAGAAGGGAGGTTGGCATAAATGGGTAGCACCAAGAGCTCCCGGATTTTGGAGCCCAGGCGGCGGCAGCGATCCTGGAGCATCTCACAGGCAGCTTCGATCTCCTCCTGGATTTGGAGTGGGGACAGCAGGTGTACAAGAGTCACAGAAGGCTGACCTGCCAGCCCTGTCTTCCCCTGGGATGCACATATTGCCCCTCCCCGCTTGTCACATACTTGTCCTGTCAGGAACACCAGGATATCCCCGGGGGGCTGGGTCACATGGATTTGCAGCACAGACACTACACAGGCCTCCAGGTAATCAGCCTCTGGAGCCTGGGGAGGAGGAAGAGAAGGAGAAGGGTCCAGGAAGGCCATCTGCACATGCAAAGCTCTTTCTCTCCTCCCAGCTAAACACTTTCTGCCAGTTCCCCTTTGGACTCTCTCTTTCCCCTTCCCTCCTTGGGACAACCTCCTTGTAAGGTGCCAGCTTCACTGCCTCGCAATTAAGTCCATCCTCCCCAAGGGGGGCACCTTGGTATAGAAGATGTCAACCGGAAACCTGCGTCCAGGGATTCGGAAGACAGGGGCATCATCAAAGAAGGTAGAAAAACGGGCTGTGTCCAGTGTGGCTGAAGCCACCAGGACCTTGAGTTCAGGCCGAAAACGGGCAACATCCTTGATCAACCCAAAGAGAATGTCTGTGTGTAGGGTCCGTTCGTGAGCCTCATCTACCATCACCACGCTGGGGAAGGAATGGGAGCAGTGAGCAAGGAGAGCCAGGCAATGCAGAAATGGACACAAGGGTCCCTTGGGTGTGCCCAAAGAGCCCAAGGATAAATGTGAATCATGGAGAAGCGAAACATCCCATTAAGTCAGACCAATAGTAAATTAGAGAAAGCCAGCGCCCTGCAGTCTGCAGCCTAGCCCAGCCTGGGCAGGCGACAGCACCCAAGATCTGGAGGCTGAAAGCCGAGGCCAGAACAAGTCAGACATGCCCTCTAGGTTAGAGCAGAAGTCTGTTCTAGTCAGCAGAGGTAGAGGCATCTGTTTAAAAGAAAAAAAAGTGACGACAGTCCTCTTTGAATAAGGCTGGGCCCCCCCAGGCTGGGTGAGGAAGGGCAGACAGGACTTGAGCCACCATGACTCAAACAATCCAAAAGCTCCCAGGCTCCTGTGGGAACTTGGTGCATGTCCCTGTTGGACCTGCTGCCTATTTCTGAAGGGAAGGGCTAGGGGAGCCTTCCTACCCCAACCTTAGAGGATTCTGCAGGCTTCTCGGTCTCCTCCCAACTTAGTTATGTGTGTGTCACCTTCTTTCTCCTTGTTCTAAGCTTTGGAATTCCAGATGACAGCCAAGCCTGCAGGAGCTCACCCCTAACTCGGCCCTCTATGCCTAACCTTTACTGTGATGGTGAAGTCCCTGGCTGTTTTACAAGGCAGGCTGGCTTGATTGGAAAACTCACACCCGAAACACTTGCATTGGCTCTCAGGTGCCATGGGTTCTTATAGATTTTTGCAAGTGATGTGAAGGATCAAATCATATTTGCCCTATTTCTCCACTGTGATCTTCTAGGACCAGAAATTCACAGCCTCCCAAGAGTTCAAAAGGCACATACTGCTCAGCTGGCCTGACCCCACCTCCATCCCATGCATGAATTCTTTCTCCTCCTCAGCACATGCTCATCCAGCCTGCTTGGCCAATGCCAGCACTGAGAACTCACTATTCATAGACCAAGCCCCTCCAAGACTTGGGCTACAGGCCCAAGAGTCAAGGTGAGAGTATTTTGACAGCCCTTGCAGTCCCTACCACTCTATGGCTTCTTAGCATTGAGATGAAATCCATCTCCCTATAACCTCCCCCATGGTTCCTAGGTGTGGCTCTCTAGAGTCATATGAAACAAGGCTGATCCCTTTTTCCATATAACAGTCCATCATATACTTAGAGGACCTCTGAGTTTCTCCCCTCTAAGCAGAATATTCTAAATTTCTTTAAGTGGTCGTCACATGCTTTTTAAGTCTCCACAGTACCATTCTATTATCCTGGTTGCTTTCTAAATTCTGGAATCAACTGGGGAGGGAGGAGAAGCTTTCTCTGCCGTCTTTTCTACCCCCGGACCCCACCTTCATAGTACTTGGGGGTCAGTTCTAAGAATGTTTGAACCATAAAGATTTAAGAACTGGTAAACTAATCAGAAGAAAATGCCCAAACTGACTGGGTAGGAAGGAAGGAAAAAAGGGCCAGGGATTAAAGGAGATCAGTAAGGCACCAAGAGGAACGAGGGCAATGGAAGGTGGGAGTCAGGCAGGGATGCAACCCCTGTGTATACCTGTAACTTGCAAGGTCAGGCTCAGAGAGGAACTCCCGGAGAAGCATCCCATCTGTCATATAGCGGAGGACAGTTCGCTCTGATGTGCAGTCCTCAAAGCGTATGCTGTAGCCAACCTGTCAAGGTTAGCAATCAAGAAGGAAGTACAGGGCTACAGGACGAGGGGCCAGTGCCTGGACCTGTGGTGTGGGTCCTCGGGGCAGATGGGCTGAGACCCAGACCCTAGGAGCTCCCCTTGCTCCTCAGTCCCCACAGACCTTACCTCATTCCCAAGCTTCACACCCATCTCCCTGGCCACTCGGGCAGCCACACTCATGGCTGCCACTCTCCGGGGCTGGGTGCAGGCAATCTTCATACCCTTTTTTGTGTAACCCTGAGTGACAAGGAAAAAGAACATGCTTTACTATGTACATCCCTGGAGCCCAAGACAATTCAGGGAAAAATGTTGTAGGTGCAAGGTAGAGGGAGAGTAGGGAATAGACAGGCTAGAAACCAGACAGTGGGGCAAACAGGACAGCTGACCTAGGGCCCTAGGGGGCCTGCACACAGCCCTGACTGTCCCAGACCTTGCAAAATCAAGTTCAGGGCTCAGCTAGACTGGAGCTAGAAAAGGACAGACCAGCCGGACAGACCCAAAGCAATGGGAACAAAGAGGGGGAGAGCAAACAAACAAGTCCATTCATTCCTCATTTTCTGGCCCTGGCAGAGCTGTGTGGGCCAGGCTGGCTAGAATGTGGGGAGGTCCATACCCCACCATCTGTCCATCCGCATGTCCTTTCAACATGAATGTACTAAATGCCTACCAGGCATGGCAAGGGTGGCAGAACATGAGAACAGAAATGAGAAAAGAATCTGGCCCTCTTTCTCAGGAGCCTCAGGATTTAGTGGAAATGACCAAACAATCCAAGTGGAAAAGGTAAGTGACCAAACTGTCACATAAAAGGAGCTTTGATGGGACTGTGCTTGCCAATGGCCGGCACCCCCACAACCTAGAGCAGATGGATGACTGTACCTCCTCGAATAGGTATTGCGGGATTTGGGTGGTTTTCCCTGAGCCTGTCTCGCCTTCAATGATGAGGACCTGATGACTGGCAATAGCAGCCAGGAGCTCCTCGCGAAACGGGAATACAGGGAGGCTGCGGCGGACGGCCTGGATGGACTCCTTCTGCTGAGCCTGGGTTGGTGCAGGTGATGCTGATGGCTCCTAAGAAGGAGAAAGAGGGGCATGAGCTCCAGAGCCAGCTCCCCATCTTCCTCAGAATGTCCCAGAACTTACCCTCTCACCTCATTGCCTTGGAGCTGAGTGGCTCGGACAAACTCAATGGTCTCATCCTCCTCCAGAACCAGTTGATATTTGGGCTCTTGGGCGGCAGCATCTCGGGCCCCAAACTTCAGGGATGCTGCCCCCAGCCGGGCCTCCTCCCAGCGCCGCTGCTCCTCCCCAGGGGCGCCGGATTCTTCCTCCACGATATCCACAGCTCGTGCTGGCTATGGAGAGGGTCATGGGAAGACAGAGGATGCCTCCCTCTGTGCCCAATCCCCTCCTCCCCAGTCACCACCCCTGCCCTCTGGGAAAGGCAAGACAAAGACTGGGCCAGCCAAGGCACTGCCCACTGCCTTTCCCTTCCCTCAGCCTGGGGACCAGGGCTGAAGCAGACCCTGTTTCGCCTCACCTGTCCTCGGGTCTCCTCAGGCATGTGGTAGCGATTGGTCACCTCCAGCTTCTCCTGCTCTCCTGCTGCCCGGTACTCCCGAGCCAGATCCCGCACTCGCCGCTTGTATTTGAGCTCCCGCCGCTCATGCCGGCTCAGCTCTACATCCCCAAAAAGGAACTCCTCATCAGCCAGCTCGGCCTCCAGGTCCTCAAGCTTCTCTCGCTCTCGCTTAGCCAGGTATTCTCGGCGGGATTTCTTCCGCAGCTCAGGGACCTGGGTCAGGACAGGCAGTCAAAGCCTCACCCTGCTGGAACAGCAACCCTTTTCCTTCCCTACCTGTCAGAATGACACAATCCCTACAGGCCAGTATGAGAACCTAACAATGTGTCCACCACCTTCACTCTGTGATGTCCAACTGGACAAATGGCATGCCCAAAGCTGGGCCTCTATGAAAGCCACACACTGACCCCACACACTGCCTTCCAGCAGCAGGATCCAGTTAGAAGGTCCTCTGTGCAGCCTCATCCTCTTTGTCAAGATAGATTCATTAAAGCAATTAATTGAATATGTTATGTTCTACCCTATTTGATTCAACTTAGTAGAAAGGGGGAAAACAAAAGGCTGATAACAGCATTTAGAAGCATAGGTCTCAAACTGAAAATAAGTGAAACAACTGGAAACCACTTGATGTGCCAACACTAGGTAATCTTCAGCCCCAGTTAGAGGCTCCCTGGTCTTAAACCAAACGACTATAATTTGGGGAAAGAGTATATAATTTTTTTTACATATAAAAAGTTGGTAGTACATCATCCAACTGTAAGGCAAGATGTAATCTAGGATGCTTAGCTCTCTGAGACCAACCTCTCCCCCCTATATAATGTGTCACTTAGCTTCTACATCTTTCCTTTGTTACAGACTTCTCAGGACACATTCTGGATGACAGTTGAAGACTGGCTACATCCCTAAGGCCTCTCTTGGTTCTCATCACAACTCCTTCCCCTGGGGCAACATCATCTTCCCAACAATCATGACACCCTCCTCTACTGCAGTTGTGAAAGTTCATCAAAACTCTTCCCTTGGGGCTCTGATTCTATTTAATTGCTTGTGTTTTCTGTGACAATTTAAACTGCAGTTTATGTTCATGATCTAATCTGAGTTCCACAATCAAATACTCTTTCAGCCGGATGGGTAAAGCAAATGGATGTCTTTTTAAAGTAAGGGCAAAAAATCAGTGCAATTTGAGCATCAAAAATAAAAATATGCAGAGGAGCCAAGATGGCGGCATGAGTACAGCAGTGGAAATCTCCCAAAACCATATATATTTTTGAAAATACAACAAATACAACTATCCCTAAAAGACACACCAGAAGATACAGGAAAACAGCCAGGCTACATCTACACCTGCAAAAACCCAGCGCATCGCGAAGGGGGTAAGATATGAGCCGCGGCCCGGTGGGACCCTAGCGCCCCTCACCCCAGATCCCGGCGGGAGGAGAGGAGTCAAAGTAGGGAGGGAGAGGGAGCCCAGGACTGCTCAACACTCAGCCCTAGCCATCTGCACTGGGGCACGGACACACAGTGCATGGGCTGCTGGATACTAGGGAAACGGAACAATAAAACCTGTGAGCAGGTCCCAGCAGGCAGCACCCCTAGGACAAAGAAAAGCAAGTGCTTTTTCAAGGTCTTAAAGGGACACGGACCCCACACCTGGACGGAAGCGACCTGGTGCACTCAGGCCAGCAGCTGGGAATGCTGAGGAACTCCAGGCACCCTAACCCCCTGGGCAGCAGCGCAGCTCTGAGGCCCCTCAGGGCGATAAACAGCCTCCCGCCCATTCCCCCTCCAACAGGGTTCCGCCACAGCTGAGCTGCAGCCTGAGAGTGGCCACGCCCACAGCAACCGCAGAGCTTACTCCACAGTGGCCAGGCAAGAATCAGAGACCCCATCTGCATGCAGGTGACCAGCACAACCTGTTAGGGGTCACTGTTCTCCCAGGAGGGAAGTCCACAAACTAGAAAGAAGGGACATTCCCCTGACCGACACATGTGCCAGCTACCCACAACTACCTCTATCGCCATGAAAAGGCACAAGAATTTGATCCAGACCAAAATCACAGAGACAACGCCTGAGAAGAAGCTTGGAGAGATAGACCTAACCAATCTCCCTGAAAAAGAATTCAAAATAAAGGTCATAACCATGCTGATGGAGCTGCAGAGAAAAATGCAAGAGCTAATGGACAAAGGGAGGGAGACTACAGAAATAAAACAATCTCTGGAAGGACTTAAAAGCAGAATGGATGAGATGCAAGAGGCCATTGATGGAATAGAAACCAGAGAACAGGAATGTACAGAAGCTGATGCAGAAAGAGATAAAAGGATCTCCAGGAATGAAACAATGTTACGAGAACTGTGTGACCAATCCAAAAGGAACAATATCTGCATTATAGGGGTACCAGAAGGAGAAGAGAGAAAAAAATGGATAGAAAGTGTATTTGAAGAAATAATTGCTGAAAACTTCCCCAAAATGGGGGAGGAAATAGTCACTCAGACCACAGAAACACACAGAACTCCCAACAGAAGGGACCCAAGGAGGACAACACCAAGACACATAATAATTAAAATGGCAAAGATCAAGGACAAGGACAGAGTTTTAAAGGCAGCTAGAGA